TATTTTTTAATATATATTTAATAATAATAAATTTTCTATAATTAATAGACTAATTATATAGTGAATCAGTCTAAAAATTGATATCCATTATCTACTTGAATAAAAAACTTAATTTAATTATTTGTTCTTAAAAATATTTATTAGAGAGTAATATTTTTAAAGTTAAAACTTTAATTTTTTTTAAAAATCAAGATTAATGTATACTACCTTTTTTATTTAAATATTTTTAATAAATCTCTTACATGTTGATTCATCAAACAATATTAAATTGATTTAATAGGTATTCATTCTTATTGTACTTTTTTTTTGTTAATTTAAATTATACAATAAAAAATAATTTTATCTTACTCTTAATTCATTCCACTTATATATAATATGATTCAAGAGCAAAACTATCTACTTTTAATAATTTAAAAAATACTACTATTAAAGTGAATAAATTATTAACACTCACTGCACTTTTTTGTTCCATGACCCTAAATTCTTATGTTAAAACTCCACATTTTGTAACAATAAATGTAAAATGGATTTCAAAACATGCAAAAACGCAAAATAGCTATCTCTTCGTATGTTTTGTTTTTTCAAAACGAAAAAGGGTGATTACCATCGATCGGAGACGGATGCTTGATATTGTAGTGTCTTCCATCAGTACGGACTGCAAATTTATTATTTTATTTTATTTTTTTGAACATTTTTATCATGGACCGGCTCGAATCGTTGTTTTTAATAAAGGAGGACATGAATCTTATAAGAGTGACCAAAACCACTTGGCCCAGTGGGTCAAGTTTAATTTATTATTCTATTTTTTAACGACAATATATAAAATTTTAATTTTATAAAATATAACATTATATTAAATAAATATATGTAAAATATATGTCATGGTTGTATCTTTAAAAAAATTAATTATATAATATTATATTATATTATAAACTTATAATATTATATAATAGTGTTTTTATTTTTTTTTAATTCTAAACAGTGAAAGAACAAAGTAGACACTTGAAAGTACAGAGAAGAAACCGTTGTATTGGCGTCCAAGAAAGGTCCCACCGACCCCCACACACATTTCATATCTTCAAAAGCGCACACAGATTCCATTTTCCTCATCCCTTCATTCTCCCCTCAAAATTTTCCATCATTTTCCCAGAGAAATTACCCAAGCGTTCCAGCACCCATGCCTTCCCCAGTCGGCTCCCCCACAAGCTCCCAGTCGGTGACTCAGACCGTCAACGGCTCTCACAGTTTCACTATCAAGGGCTACTCCTTGGCCAAGGGCATGGGCATCGGGAAGCACATAGCCAGCGAGAGCTTCACCGTCGGCGGCTACCAGTGGGCTATCTACTTCTATCC